AAGCGTCCGTACGCGACACCCAGGTGTCCGAGGGGGATGAAATTAAAATGGGAGGGTCGCGCATGGTATGGGTACATAATTCCGGAGTTTCAGCCTTCTAGCTTTTCGTGCGAACACACTCATTCCTGCTATTAGCGACCTGAAAGTTTGGCGCAAAAAACGCATGATCGCACCGACAAGCCTAGTGCATTACCGTCCGGGTTGTAGCTTACGGCCTCTAATACCATAAAACAAGCGCCAACATGCATCAGGCAATGGTTTACCTCTGACGTCCTTTGCGAATTCTCCTTGGTCAGCGATATCCCAGTAAAACTTCTCTTGTGAGATATCTTTCTGAGGCTGATTTATTATTCACTAAGAAGGCGGCGAGACTGCTGTAAGTGGTGACACGTCTCCCTTGCCTTTACATATTCCTCCCGGAAGGTCGTTACTGTACTTGCCTAGTCATGTGGACTAGTCCATTCCGCTGAAGCAACAGGGTTTTCAAACGTTGCTAGCTTTAAAATCATGGAAATTTCAATAAGTTTTAACAAATGACTCTACACTTACTCTGTCCAGCCTTTGAATTTGCTTACCAAATGTTGCCGGGAGAGGCACCCACCACTGCATTTCCTCGCATCATTGGTCACCCACCGCCTGCAAGCTGTGCAAGTATGACGGGCCAAGTCGCAGCTCGAAAGAGACCACTGGACGAGGCTAGCCGAGCTGCACTTAACGCCAAGCATCGCACAATGCCAGAGTTACTTTGACAGCCAGTGCAGCTTTCATCCGAAGGTGTGGTCCATGCGTTCGCACTGCTGCTGAAGTGCAGGAGGCAGTTGGAAGGGCGGGGGTGGAGGGAGCACCGAACGGTCAGACCTCCTCGCATCCCTCTCTCTGTGGACACACGACTGACGACAATGCGAGGATGGGGAGCTCGGTGCAATCGCGTCCTCCCTCAGCATTTCCTCCGTCTGTTTGTGGGAAAGCTGTTTGTGAGCCACTGCCAGCCTCTTTCCGCTCCCCTTCCTCTCCTCCTCATTCCCTCCCACCTTATTAGTAGTCAGCCACATCGCGAGCGGTGTCCATCTCGCAGTTCCGGATCACGCTTATTGATTGATTTGCAAAATCAGTCTGAGTGCGGCTTTTGCGATCCAGTCACTCATCCATCTCAGGCGTACAACAGCATTTCAACGACTGTTCCCTTCATCCAACCTGGCTGCCTCCTCCATCCCAATCCGGTCTCAGGAACCCCAGTCCTTTGATTACTACTGGTTTTCCACTCACGGGTACGATTTTTGCCTCCACCCCTCCCCCACACCTTTATTTCTTTGGTCAGACTGCATTCTACCAGTAGTATTGCTGTATGCTGAAGTCGGGACTGTTCAGTTTGATTCTGGGACAGGGCTCCAATTCTGTTGATACACTTGCAAACGCCAAACGTCGCAGCTACCAAAATAACGATAAATATCAGAAGCCGGCGCGATTATGTGTTTTTGGTCTGTTCTGATGTAGGAGTTGGAAATTATAAGGTTCAGAGGTTTCTTTTCAAATTGTCTGGTCCAAGAAACCACTGGGGTACGCGGCTGGTGGCTCTTTAGCCTCTCGAATCATGAACATTGCGTAAATTTACAGCAGAGTTCGGGAACGGTTTTCCGGGTATTCGTTTCGAATCATGTGACGAAATTAATCTGTCAAAGTTTTTAGCTTACGGTCTT